AATCTGAATCTTTCACTGAGAGCTAGATTGTGGAAGTGTTGCATTTTACTTGTGATAGTGTGAAGATTTCCCTAGAGTGAGAAGTGAGAGTGAAAGGCTCTTGGCAGCTTCACAAGGCCAAACTAGACAGGGCGTTAATTACATCATCACAACTAGGGTCTAGATTTAAAATTTAAATTGTTGGCAGGAGGTCAAGATTCTGCCAGGTGGTGAGAGGATATAACCTTATCCACTCACACCATGGTCCTGAGGAAAATCCATCCCCCCCACACCATGTTATTAGTTACTGATGTTAATAGACATCTCCTTCCTGAGGTTAATGGGGCAGGGGTGGGGGAGATATTTCATCAGGACTCTGGTGTGAGGGAGGAGGATTAAATCTGCTGTCCATGTATTTCCTTATTTCATTTTCCCTCAGTAATTGTTACTTACATTAGGAAAAGAAGTAATTCACAGTTAATATGTCTACTTTTGGCCTTTGGTTTGCCTGATAGTGACTAATATATGAATTTGGGCCAGTTGCCATGTAAATCACCACAATGGATTGCCAGTAGAAAATCAGGCTCATCATGGGTGCTTTGTTTCCATCCTGTTCCTCCCTGCAGTTTCCCAGGGGATACCATAAGAAGGACTGAGTCTTCTCTTTCTGATAACTACAATTGCAAACTGATTTCTGCTAATTGTGGTTGGCAGAGCCCCTGCTGCACAAAGAAGATTTATACCTTGAAGTGCAGTCAGAGCAACTTCACCTGGGCAGCTTGCAGAGGGCTGCCCACTGCCCCTACTCAGGGGGTAGTGCCCTGCACATTGTAGAAGCTGAAGCTGGAAGCTGACCTTAGATCATATCACAGAATCATAGAATAGTAGATTTGGAAGGGGCCAAGAAGGCCATTGGGTCCAACCCCCCTGCTGTTGCAGGTCACCAATTTACACCATCCCACTTAAATGACTGTCCCATTTTTCCTTGAATGTCTGTAGTGCGGGAGAGCCCACGACCTCTCTAGGTGACTGGTTCCACTGTTGTATTGCTCTGACAGTGAGGAAACTTCCTGTTATCTAACCTGAATCTGGGTTGTCACAACTTGAATTGATTATTCCTCGTCCTACACTCTGGTATCAGCAAGAAGAGAGTTTGACCTTCCTCTTTGTGACAGCCTTTGAGGTACTTATAGAGGGATCTCATAAGATCTTCAGTCTTCTCAAGGCCGAACATACCCTATTCTCTCAGTCTTTCTTCATAGGAATGCCCTGTTTGAATAACAGGGATGCTTCTTTTTTCCCATTGCACAAGCAGGACTTGTGCTTGAAGCACAAAAGGGAGGATGCAGGAGGCTACCACCTCCTGCTCCAGCTTTACACTGCCACTTTGACCACTGGGCAGCACCGCTAAGTCGCTCTGTGCTGCTGGCTTCTGAGGAGACTTCTCCAGCCAGCAAGATGATCTCATCTCTCCACCCTGCTGTCCCCCACTTCAGGCAGCAGCAGGGAGCAGAGCTGTCATCTGTGCCAGGAGCTTGAAAGGAGACCTTTGCTGCCAGCAGTGTGGATGTCCATATGGTGGCCTTGTGGTGGGAGTGGGGCCAAGAAACAATCCTTGCTGCCACATCTGGAGGAGAGCGCAAGCAACAGTGCAGCAGGGAGTGGGGCTGTGCCGTGCACCACCACCAATCCCAACAGGATGTGTAGCAGCGGCACACAGTTGCATGCAGTGGCAGTAATCTGTGCTGTGACCAAGACTGAGAAAGCCTCTAACAGCTGCAGTAGCACTCAGTGGCAGACCGCTTGTGAAGAACAGCAAGAGGGTTTGCTGCTCCTGAGAAGTGGCTTACTTGCTGTGGGGGTTGACCAATGAAGGGTTGTGTCTCCTGGGTTGGATGACATAGCCCATCATAAGTTAAAGAAAAACCCTACAACAAGCAGTTGGTTCTTATCATGGTTGATTACCTCAGTAAGAACCAATCATTGCATAGATGAGTAGATTGACATAGCATGACAACCAATCAATGAGAACAGTTGTTGTTTTGTAGAAACCTAGTTCTTAAAAAGTTGACAACCTGACTGCCTCAAACTCTAGGTTCCTACTAAGTTGAAATATTCACCTCTGAGCTTGTCTGCTGCTTAGTAATTAGTGGTGACCCTTTTTCCTAGTCCTTCAATTTTATCTGCCAGTGTAAAGAATTGTGACCATTATTCTGATTATATGTGCTGGGTATAGGTATGGGTATAGGTATAGCACGGGGGCTAATGCAGAAGCTGTATGGAATCTATAATGGTTTCAGCAAAAGTAAAGAACCTTTGCAGTTTGAATTTAACTGAAAATGAATGTGTTCTTAGTGTAGTTTGTAATAGGCTTTCTGTGTGGGATTTTGCTGAGCTGGAATTCTATACAAAGATCCAATTTTGTGCATGCAGAATGAAACAATAGGCCATCAAAATATAACTGCATTGTCTTATGTGTACTTCTGGCAACTTTCATTATGCCAGCTCAGTCTATCACAATGTACTGTTTTGACTGGTATATAAAATTGCATGTCTGTCTTTATTGTGTCCTCCCTCTAAGTGGGTATTGTATGAGTAGGAATGGCAATGTGTCTACCTGTTTTTACTGGTCCTTTCCCTGTTAGAGAGGCATGTACCAAGCCATCACTTTCATAACTTTCCTGCTTTTTGTTTAGTCATTGCACAGGTGTATTAATATATATTTGGTTCTTTTTCTCTATGAATGAAATCTGTCAGAACACATTGCCAAAGTTTTAATAGAACTGGCAACAGAAACATAGTTCTTGGGTTTGGTGTTTTATTTTGTTTTGTTTTGTTTATACTGGTGAATATATGAAGTATGTATTCATACTTGAGAGGGTTTGCCAATATATTTTTGCAACTTGCAAAGAATTACTGTTAGACTGGATGCCCAGAATATTACAGATACACGAACTGATCCTGGCCTGAACAGTGCTGGTCCATGAGATGGGAAAGCAATGTTCCTAATCATTTGGCAATCCATAGCTCCTAATTCTGGGAGCAGAAGTAATTATACACATTGGCTAGGTTCACACAATATGATGGTCCATGTTTTAGCAACAGCCTGCAGTTTGACAACAACCCACACTCAACTCTGTTTGTATCCCAGCGTTGCTTGCAGACAAGGTTTTTATTCTGCAACGGCTGTGCCTTAAACACAGAATTTAGGGGGCCCATGCACCATAGCTTTCCAGTTTTAGCTCTCCCATGTTTTTTCCTTACTTCTAAGAAAAACCCATTAAGGAAAAAATGGACTAAGTGCACCAAGCCTTTCAATTGTTAGCACAAGGAGCCTTCAATAAATCTTCTTTAACAGAGTCACTGGATTGATTTTAAAAGATTGTATTAAAATTCAGTTGGACTGCTTACCCATTAAATCTTTATTTTATGCTTGGTAGCCAATGTCCATGAAAAAATGAAACTGCAGAATTCTTTAAGGCTATTAAAGGAAGTAGGCCTTGAGCATGTGTGGAGCAGAGCCAATTGACAGCAGTCTCCCATTTGACATTTATACCAATTAATATGCAAATTAAACATTGGGAGAGGAAGAAAAGGGAAATTGCCAGTTGAGTGCTTATTATCACACTGTCCAGGTCTCTGTGGTTTTTGACACAGATGCATGGCAAAGAAATGAGAATGCTGCTTATTAAGCACAGTTTTCCCCAACCTGATGCCTTCCAGTGCTTAGGCCACAGTTTCCATTTCGCCAACCAGAATGGCCAGTGGTCAGACTCTCTGGGAAAAGTGTGTTCTGAACATACTTCAGAATGTTCTCTAGTTCTGAACATTAGGAGGGCATCAGGCTGTCTACCCCAGTCTGGAGAGTATCAGTTTGGAGAAGGCTGCACTGTAATAAGAAATACTTGGATTTACTTTCTGATAGCAAAGATGCCTAGTTTAGAAAGCATAACTCTTTGATGTCATGTATATTTGGTATGGCAGAAGTGTTGGCACTTACTGTTTAAGATAGTTTCTGTTTGTTTGTTTGTTTGTTTGTTTGTTTGTTTAAAAAGAACTTTAAGCAATTTACATCATTCTCCTCTTACTGCTTTCAGTCTGATGCCCACAACAACCCTGTGAAGTAGGTTGGGTTGAGAGTCTGTGACTGACCCATAAAGTCAATCAGTTGACTTCATGGCTAAGCAGGGACTAGAACCCAGATTGCTTAAGTCCCAAACCCACTATACCACATTTGCTCTTTATATAGTATACAGTACATTGCTTTTGTAAGTTGAATTCTGTTTTTGTTGTGTGTGGATCTGTTACGTGTTGCAATTTTGCATGCATACCAAAACTACAACATGCAAAACACTCTACTACACAGATTTTGCTTCAGTCAGATGCATTATCTAAAATGAGTTTCAAAATACACCTATCAGACTGGGCTGACATCCATGTGCCAAGGTTTTTCTGTTAGAGGGTCTATAGGAATTTGCCAGTGCTTGATTCAAAGCTGCAGTCTTGCTCCTGTCCTCTACAGAATGGGGCAGTTGGGTACACTATACTCATAAATCTTATAAAGTAGATATGTTGTATATCACATTAGTAAAAATGCAACATTGCCACTAAATATGGTGCTATAATTGTATGCAACTAGAAGCAGGTCAAGTTTGCAAAAATAACTCCTCGTCCTTTACTCCTCATCACCTAAAAGCTTATGTTGCAGAGTCCCAGATGTTGCTATTTGCCTGTTTACCATTCTTTCACACCCAAATTGCTTGTCAAAGTAAGTTTTAATATGTATAAAATCTCAACACTCAGTATTGTGACAGGAATGTAGCTAAGTTAGGAATGTAACTAAACTGGAACTGGAATACTTGCACATTCTTTTCTGTTTTCCCTTGTGATGAATTCTGAATTGTAATCTTTTCAGGACCTTTGCAGAAAGCTCTGTGAATCCTTATGGTACTATAATAATATATAACAATGCCCATATGCCAGTTTTTTGTATGATCACAATTCTGTTATTTTCATTATAGGAATTGACTATAAGACTACAACAATCCTATTAGATGGCAGAAGGGTGAAATTGGAACTCTGGTAAGTTTCCATTGCCATTGCTAAAATGTCCAAATATAGTTGAGCAGAGAGACCTGAGAATGGAGAGCATACATGAGTCCATAATGCAACTGTTAGCTTAGAATGATCTGCTTTAGTTATCTGGAGGTATTCATATTTCATACAAAACAATGTTCTGGCACATGGAATAGGTTTCCTAATTCCTTCCCTGTTTTCATAGTTTGGTTTCCCAAGCATTTTCTCCTTTTTCCTCTTGCTATGGTTTTTGTTGCCAGTATGCACCTAAAAGCAATAATAAAACAAGCAAACATTATGTTACATATAACATCAAACATAATATTAGCTGTAACAAAACCTTGTCCATAAGTTTGCAATCTAAAGAGGAAAAGGAAGGAAAGCTAGTAAAGGAAGAGGCACTGAGTCATTTCTCTGCTCTTCATTTTGTTGGTCACAATATCTTGTTTCCCTGGGCCAATTTCATGTTTTCCCATACATCTAACCATAAGGCCTGAAGGTCATGTTCTTTAAAAGTCTGCCCTGACCCTGATCTTGCTGGCTCCTGCTCGATATTCATTCTAACTACAATGATTTTTGGTACCTTTCTTCATGGGAATGGTCTTCTGTATAAGCAGGATGGTGAGTGACTATGGAGCCCCAAAGTATCTGCCTCCTCCACTCTCTCCAATGTGGCAAACTGTAGCTCCCACATGATGCTCATTGCTGAATTAGAGATGACACAAGTTCCTGGTTTTTGTTATATGCTGCTTATGCAAACAGAACATTTTGTAGACAATACATTGACTATATAAAGAGCTTACTAAACTATGTCCCTATGAATTGTGCAGTAATGAGAACTGTGTGTATGAACTTAACGTTCATACACACAGTTCATGTGACTTCATGTGACTTCATTGCACAGAAAATCAGATCTCTCTGAGAAATTTGATAGAGGGAAATGAGGGCAATGAGGCCTCCAGCTGCTTATTTTGCGCCCCTCCCAAGTCACTTGAGCACAGTGGGGCCCAAGGCACTGCAACGTGCTCTGTGGCTAACCTGACCACAGCCTGCACTTCAGTAGGCAGTTGCTTCGGTCAGCACAGTGCTCCGCGTAACATCACAGATGCCTGGTGATGCCCCTTGGTGTGCAGTAACATTTAAATAGATTCACAGGCATGACTTAAACCTACACAGGCGCCGAGGCATCTGGTATCCTTAAGGCACCCTGCCGCTTGTTTACTACAAACACGTTGTACTCCCTGAACACAGTTGTAAGAATTGTTTGGTGTTTTGTTGGCCTCTGAAGTAGCCACTGAATATTGGTTCCAAACATTCTTCTCCAGCCAGAGGTAGATGAATTGCTTTGTAGCAGCTTTTTAAATAAAGAGCTGGGAACACTCTGTACTGCTGGGCAGTATCGAAGGACCACTTCCAATACTTTTTCTTTTGTATCTGTGCCCAAATGCAGGGCAGACCACCAGCTTGACCCAAGTTGTAAGATGAGCTTGCAAATAAGTCTATGGTTTTATGTGTTGCCATTCTGAGCCTACATGCCCTTCTATACCAATTATTTATGCTACATCTGTATCTGATAGGTAATCTATGGTTGTTCAGTTACCAACCTTTCCAAATGGTACCCAGAGCTATTTGTATTTCGCCCAAATTACTATGAAAATAGCTATTTACTTTCCTGATCGTACAAAGTAACTACCAAATTTTAAATGGCAATGTACAATCTCTGATCATGTTCACATTCATGACAACCTTGTTTTACATATGTATGGATGGATGGTCATTCTACTCAGTAGACATCCAGAGTGGCTTACTGCATTAGTAAATACACACAAGAAATTTTAAAATATCAAAAGCATGGATACAAAATATTAGCAAACAAGCTAACACTCCAAGGTTTCACTGCACCAAGAAAAGCAAATGAATTTCTCAGAGAAATGCTCACAAAGGCCAGGAGTGCTGGTGGACAAAGTTCTTCATTCCCACTTGTCTAATTGTTGAAAGCAAGGCAGAGCAGGGCCATTTTCTTAGAATGGACAGGATTGCTGCGGAAGGCTGTTCTCGTACCGAGGAGGTACCGCCATCTTCTCAGACTGTTTTCTTATTTAGGGAGGGCTGTGGTGATTAAATAGGGGAAATGTAGCTCAGCAGTTTTCACCCAGGGCATCCATAATAGATTTCAGGTTTAAATTCCAGTTTCCCATATCTAATGCTCTTTACTGTACCTTACTGGTAGTCCTGTGGTTGAGTGAAGTTAAGTCCTATCTCTAATAGCAAGAGGACAGAAGTTATACCAATAACCGTCTAATATGTCTCTACCAGCTCCCCATCTACATGTATGGAATAAACAGAATAAAAAGTTGGGTACAGCTATGGTAAGTTTGCACACAGTGCTGGAAGGTTTAAGCAAGAGTTTATACACCAGTCTGTTACTGCCTTCGAAACATTCAGAGGGAGGAGAGCCAAGACAGGGCAAAGTAACTGCTTTTTGCTTTGACATAGCTGATTCATGCCAGCAGACACGTTCAGGAATAATTGGGCTAGAACATTGTTAAATTTTTTTTTAGAAACTAGCATCTTATGGTCCTAGATATACGAGATCTTTTGCATACAGGAAGCCAGTGGTTAACAATATGCATTATAGAATGTTCTTGTTTATGTTCTTCAGACAAAATGTGTACATTCTCTGCACAGGAATGACATAGTGGACACTCCTCATGCAGAAACAAAGGAGGGGAGAGGGGACAGAGTACACTCTGCACAACTCTCTTGAGATCTTTCTAGATATGAAGCACCATATGAGGCTTGCTTTATTTATTTATTAGATTTATATTCCACATTTTTCATTTTTAAAGAACTCAAACTGGCTTCCATCATTCTCTTCCTCCTGTTCTCATTCTCATCCCCACAACAAGAACCCTGTGAGGTAGGTTAGGCTGAGAGTCTGTGACTGGCCTAGAGTCACCAAGTTGGCTCCATGGCTGAGCATGTCACCACATGGACTAGATCTGTTGTGATGGTTATAGCAAAGCTCTATAGAATTCGTCCCTCTTGCATTTGTGGACTTCCTTTTGGGCTTGGCCCTGTCTTAGAAAGTGAGTTGAGATGAGAGGAAGTTGACAAATGCTTACAGAATGAGGGTTGCACAAACAACTTTCCTGTGCCACATGCAGCAAAACAATGGCTGTTGCATGAGATGCAGAAGAAGAATGCCCCTTGTTCATCATTCACACAGGGCTCAGTTCCGGGCTCCATTCCTCCCAAATGCTGAGCGCACTCACCAGGAACTCATGGCCATAGCAAAGCAGACCCAGAGTCTAGGGAGCTGAGCCCAGTGAATCCTACAAATTCCCCTTCCCATTCCCAAAATGGATTTATCACACATCCCTGTTTGTGTCTGCCTTGATAAATTGCAGGAAATGAAATGATGAGGTGTATGTGCCTTGATTTTTTTGTTTCAGGGATACATCTGGGCAAGGGAGGTTCTGCACCATTTTCCGATCCTACTCCAGAGGAGCTCAGGTGAATACTGCCAGCTATGCTACTTGGCTTCTGTGCTTACTTTCCAATGAAATAAATGTGTTTGTACAAAGTTGCCATTTGCTATCATTGTTTTTTGGCTTGTTAATTTCTGGAAGTTCATGGAAAAGATTGGAGGAGTCTGTGATGGTATTTTGGTTTCCACAATCTATTTATGATGGCTTAGGCTATCATGTATAGAAACACAGAAACATATGATGATGATAACACTGAAATCAGAGTCTTGTTGCTACAGGTAAAGCTTCCACTTCTCTTAGATGATTTTTTTTCCATTTCCAAGCTGATTTCTGAAAATGGGACTCCCATTGTGATCTCTGTATATATGCCTGAAAGATACATGCTGCTTCTGCTTTTAATCTGTGAAACATAGTATGAAGTATTAGAATATCTTTAATTTAGAAACTATATTTTGCTCATTCAGTGTTGAGCTTGCTGTTCAAACATTGGGTTTCTGAAAATTGTCATGTTTTAATTTTAGTTTTACTTAGAAAACAGTCATTAGAGGAACAAGTAAGGTCTCACAAATTATGGCAGGGTTTCACTTGCACTCTGACTGTGACTTGTAAGCCGAAAGAACATTCCTGGGTGGGTAGGGGAAACCCTTAGTATTCAAAGTCTGTTGTCACCTGGCTGGAAATACAGTGGTACTTTGGCTCACAAACGCCTTGGTTCACGACTAAATCAGGTCGTGAACAAAAAATTCATGAAAATGTTGACATGGGTCCCGAACTCCACATTGGGTGGCAACCAAGATCGCAACCATCTCCCCCCATCCTCCAGTGGGGAGATGGCCACAATCGCAGTTGTGTTCGTGCAGGGAAGACCTGCATGATCACAGGCACACTCCTGCAGGAAAGCAATCTCGGCCATCTCCCAGTGGGCATTACATAAAACTTTCCCCTGCTCACTGCTTGCTTACAGTAAATCAGGATTAAGCCAGCAATATTGGCTTATTGTTATCTGCAGACATGGCCACTGAAAAAGTGGGCAGATTTTAAATGGACTGGAAATCAAGAAAACTCTATGGATCTTTTAAGACAACACTTGATAGCTGGTTCAAAAATTACACAGAATCGGGAAATTCTGAAAGTAAAGTGATATGTGTCATTTTCCCACTAAATCTGTAACACAGGGTAGTGGGACTTGGTGATGATCACCAATAGAATCCCTAGGAAATTGCAGTGCTTCTTTAATGCCTCTCTTTTGATGAGATGATAATGTAGCTTTAAACTTCATTTTAAGTAGTAAAAGTTTCTGGCAAAATTGACTTTCTTTAGAGTCTGATTGCCTAGCATGCAGCTTGGTAGAATCAGTGGGTTCCCAATTGTAAACGTTTTTGGTAATAATGCCACACATTTGTAAAACATTTAATCCTACTGCTGCATGCTGTCTGCTTGCCCTGTTCTTTGACATGATTATAAAGGTGGTGATTTTAAAGGCATTGACCTAGTCCACTGTGGCACATTTAAAGCAAGGTTCGGCTTTAACCCTTGTACAACCCACCCCACCAGGTTTGGATGACATAGCAAACTAAGCCTCTTTTTGAATATCCAGAATAGCTGCCTATTCACACTGTAGGTGACCATGACTCAAGCCATGGTGGGCTGTTCAGTTGTGTGAACTGATCCATTGTTCCATGCATCACATCCCTTGGACAATATATAGTTTTGCTTTCTCACATTCCTACTTTGTATTAGGAAAATTGATAGAAGGCTTCTGTAAAACAGGATCTCAGATTGAATTTCCTACAGGATGTGAGAGTGCAGAGGAGTTATACTTCCAAGTTATATCAAGTATATACTTGTTATACTTTCAAGCAGGATTGAAGAATGAGAAGCCCAGGTAGACATTGCACATAGTTAAACAGATCTTTCCTGATTTTTAAAGCCAAAACAACTTCTGGAGGCCTCCAAGAGAACAAGAAATCAAAAGGTGCAAACAGCCAAATGAACAGACTAAATTGTCCGTCTGTGCCCTTGTCTATAAGCTTGGAATCTTTGAGACTGCTTTGAGGTCAGGTGTATTTTTGTAGGAAAGGCACAGCTATATTGAGTAATAGCTGGCTAATTGTTGTTAGATGTATTGTGTTGACCTAGCTAGAAAATTATGAATGCTCAGTGACAGTCAAAAGGTAAAACCTCTTTTGTCTCCTTGTCCCCATTCCCAACAGTTCATGGCTAACATTAGTCAAAACTTGCCAGATGGTATGCTTCTGAAGTTGCACTCTCATCTATAGAGGACAGTGTAGAACAATCAGGCATTTCAATTCAACAAGCGGGTAAAGCAGGACTCAAAAATAAAGCGCTTGTTGAATTGCACTTGGTTTTTCAGTATCCACCATCTAGCATTCTGATGTTGCTGGTCCAGCTTTGTGATTGTGAGAGTTCTTCTTGCATCACACTAACAAGTGATGATGGATGCTTAGTTGACAGCAGCAGGAGCTCTGCATATCATGGATGTGCATCCAAAAAATAAGCAAGCAATTATTCCAATTTGCTTTCAGCTTCTACTGATAGTATTTTTGCCAACTGCTGAAGAGCATGGAGGACTTCTGGACTCTTTCCTAGTAGGGAACATAGAGAGCTTTTGAAGCTGTGTCCTCTAGGTTACACCCTGTTTGGCAAGTTAGCCACAAGAGAAAAAGAAAGTATAAGTACTATACTACCAATGTACTCCGTGCTTTGTGGTGGTGATCTTATTTATTTATTTATTGCTTTTATATACCATTCAATAGCCATATATGGCTCCCATGCAATTTACGGAACAGTCTTGCCTCTAGTTGTAAGCTTGCCAGTGCAGGTCAGTTCTTATAATGACAAATGCTGCTGTCCAGGGGTGTCACAAACTATCACTACTGTGTCAGTCATGTTGCTCCTGCAGCATGTTGCTCTTCTATATGCTAGATTCCTAGATAACAGCTCTCTAAATCAGCATCATCTTTGCTTCCAAGACACAGTTATTCAGGTTGTGGTGGGGAGTGCTACAACTACATGCCAAGGGTGAGGCCTGTCCATTCTTGCCCTCAAAGTGATAAAACATTTCAGGGCTTTGGAATCTATAGGCAAAGAGAACTAGTGCATTCATACTGCTGTGCTTTTTATGGATACCCTAAGTGGTTTCTCTGAAGCTCGGTGCATGCCCCAAATCCATCACTTGCAGTCTTACTAACTAATTGGAAACATCTGTGCTTTTGCTGCGACGCAAAGCCTCACTTCTCCCACTGGATTCCTTTTCTACATGCACTCCTTCTGAAAGAAGGAAAAAAAGACTCAAGAAGCTGCAAATCACAGTATTACCTATTAGCGTGACTTGACAATGGTGTTCTTTAACAGCTTTCCAGGTAAGCAACCTCCACCAACTTCTGTTGCAGCTTGAAAATAATCAGCTAAGCATTCTGTTTCACACAGGGAATCCTCTTGGTATACGATATCACCAATCGCTGGTCTTTTGATGGCATAGACCGATGGATCAAGGAAATAGATGAGGTAAGAATGGCAAAGAACATACTGGACTGCCATGAATTTGAGCGTTCTGTTATATCTATCTACAACAAGTGTGGTCAGGATGTAGCAGGACACTTTTGGATTCCTGTTAGAATGCCACCGTATTGTTGCAGCAAATCTTACCAAGTAGGTGCTTTCACAGCCTTCCGCAAGCTGCGATGCTTCTATTGTAATTCCTGACATTGATGAAACACCAAGGCAAAAAGTGAGGTCTGAGATTGTCAAGAATGTAGGCTTCTGAAGAAACACGTTTCTACTAAAAGGGGCAGTCCTCTGTTTGCTGAGGAAGGGGTTGCAGTTCCTGCTTGAAAAATACGGAGCCTTGCTATCCTCTTTACAGACCTAGTTTTCACTGAGGTGGTAACTCCTCTCTGGGCTGTCCCACTTCCGAGTACAGCTGGGGGTACAAATCCCTCTCATCCCTGCTGCCATCTCCAAACTGAGGGGGATGGGGGGTGGGAATGGAGGTTAGGTTGCACATGGGAACTCCCCCCCTCCCCCCCCGCAGAATTGAGTTCCAAAGGAACTGTTGGCTAAGAAAAAGGTGATAAGAAATGGAGTCATTCCAAGCATTATGTCCAGGATGGGGATAAATCTCTGGCCTCATCCAGCATGTGCAAAGGGGAATAAGTGGCCCTCAACCCAAAAGAGTTGTGTATCCCTGTTTTACGTGAAACCAGATGTGGTTCCTTGGCAGAAAGGCGGTATGTAAATACATTAAATAAAAAGATGAAAAGGCAAGCAGGCTGCACAGCCCACACTGGTTCTCCAACACCACTACTAGGCAAGTGTACCAGGTGGGGAACTGGATTAAAGTACTCAAGACCATCAGGACTAAACAAGAAGTGCTGGATGGGTCTGCTTTGCTTCCCCAGCGAGAGAAGTTAGAATAGGAGCACAGGTCAGCACAGAAATGCAGATGTACTTAAAGACGTTCCGCATTCTCTTAAAGCATGCCCCCGGCGTGCCCCGTATCTTGGTGGGCAACCGGCTTCACCTGGCCTTCAAACGGCAAGTGCCAACGGAGCAGGCCCGGTCCTATGCAGAGAAGAATTGCATGACGTTCTTTGAGGTCAGCCCATTGTGCAACTTCAACGTGATCGAGTCCTTCACGGAGCTGTCTCGTATTGTGTTGATGAGACACGGCATGGAGAAGATCTGGAGGCCCAACAGAGGTGAGTGAGCTTCTGTTCCTTCCATGTAAAATACCAGTGTAGATGTGCCATCACTTTTCTAGGATTTTGGGACAAGGCCACTCAGCGTTCTGTCTGTCACTTCTGGGATTGGTGGTGGGTTGTTTGCCCCCATGTCATGTGTGATTTCTTTCATGGAAGTTCCTGTGGAGTCTGTTAGCTCAGTGGCAATTTGCTCCTGTTGGTATGAATGTAGGGAAACTTGGTGGTCAGAATACAGCTCCATATGCCTTGAGCCTTCTGCCCTTATTGAAGAGACTGGTCTTTTCCCACTTTTTTTCACTGATTCCTGTGAATTCCCTGAACTTGCTTTGATGCTGATCTTTTAGATCTTTGATTTGGGGTTCTCCACTTCAGAACAATTGGTCTTCTTGTATATAGATAAGGAATAGGTTAAAATGATTCTGAGCAAATTGGGCTAATCTATATGCCTCCCATGGCTGTAAAAACAGGCTTCAAAAACATGGGTGTCATTCATAAAAGCTTAAGAGTAAGCAAGTGCCTGAACTAGGTTTCAACACGATAGAATTTAGTGATGCTGCATATCTTGTATAAAATTAACAATTTTGGATTTTCCTAGTCTAAGCAATCCCGACTTGGGTGAATGAGTTTTGACACTCATGTCCTGACTTAAGATGAGAGGTGAACTGCCCCTTTGACCACACAGGCAGTTCTTTTTCTTTGCAAACATAGCTTAACAAACCAGGAAATCTACAATTTAGCTATTGTTTCCTCTTTCAAATAAATTAAGAAACTATGCTTAACAGGTTTGAAACAAAGTACCCATAGTTTGCTGGGTCAGGTGAAGTGGGAAACTAGCTTTATTGAATTCTGAGAGGCTTTATTACTCTTCTTTTTACTCCTAAAGGCCAATGGACCAAGATAGAGTCATCTGAAGTTTCCCAATTACTCATTCCATTTCAGTTTGTCAATTGATTCTGGAACTTTCTTGCACCTGCATTTATTATTACATACTTGGTGCAAAGAATCCCCTCTCTGAAATCTCTTCACACTTTTATTGTGTAATTGTGTTATTTCCTGGGCTTGTTTCCTGTTTGAGGTATTAAAATGAGTGTGTTTTGTTTCATAGTCTTTATGTTGGGCAATATGCTCTGCAAAAGTATTCTTGCCTTCCTTATTAACTTGCACTTGTTTTTCCAGAGTTTGTGCTTCTCTGTCTTCATTGTTTTGTACCTCTCCTGCTTTATCCTGTACATTCTATCTAAGCTTCTGTTCCAGTGGTTTTAAATTATTTCCTGAAGAGATATGATCATCTCAACTATTTCTTAACCCTACTCTTCACTTTTTGGAATATGCCTTAAAAAATAAAAAGTATGTGTTGGGCTTCCTAGAAACCTTTTTACTTAAGCTGACGACTCAACAGCACTTACCTCACATCAGATTGTGGGCACTGGGACAAGGCTAGCTGGCCATATCCTTTTATCTAGACATGTTTGTTTTTGTTATCCCCTTAATGTACATTTGGCCAATCAGTGTGATGGCTGTTGCTGCTGTCATCTCCTTTGACTGTTTGCCTGGTATTTTTCTGAAGATTCCTTTGCAGGTAGTGATCAGAAAGGCAATGCTACTTTTTCTAATAGTGTTTTTCTTTATGTGCAGTGACCTTCTGAAGTAGTTAGTCCTTTAGTTTTGTCTATTAGCCTCTCAGCTCTTTTTTTATTTGTAGAGCTAGACTATCTCTGAACTTCTTTTTTCACTCTTCTGATATCCCCAGTACATCTGTTTTTTAGTATGAAGCCTTTTGGCTCCCTCATTTTGGGTTTGAGACTTCTGACTTTAGAATATAATCACCTGTACTTCATTTCCTCTCCAAATGTCATTTTGTGTACATTTCACCTGTGGCTGTTTGGTCATTCTAACCCAAATTTCTAACCCTTAATTTGTCAAGTTCTACCCTGCCTTTAAGGATGTGAAACATCATCCCATTTCTAAGGAACAAATTATCCTAAGTAAGCTACTCCCTAGCTTCTGTCAGCTTTGGCTCAGAAACCACTTAAAATCTGCTCTGTGTCCCTTCTTGGCAAGTGTCCCTGGCTTGGCTGCATTCAGTTCAAGTGGAGCCTGTTCCCTCCTTCATGCCAGTGTCTCCCCGCATCTGCATCCTTTCTTCCAGCTCCGTGTCTCTGGTACTCTGGTGCCTCACAGCTCTGCCTGTGTTGGTGGCCGTCCACATGGAACATGGAGTTATTTTGTTCTTGTTTTGAAAATGCTTCCTTGGCGGTCCGGGCAGGAGCTGCTGGAGATGCTGCAGCTCTGCATTTCAGCGGGATGGTCGGAACTGCTCCTCTGCTTCTCAAACTCGTAGAACTCAGCCCTTCCTAATGCAGACATTTGTGGTGGTTTGAGAGCAGCCTGCGGTATGGCCTAGGTGATATGGTACTCATCCATATAAGCCACTTACCGCAGCTTGATACTTGAGGCGTGGCCCTGCAGGGGAGAGATGAAGAGTCGCCCTGGACTGAACCAGATCAAGGGCTCACCCCGTGCGCAGTGTTTGGCCATACTGCTTCTTCTGTGAGGTGCAATTTACCTTCTTTGCCAGAAGATGGCATGGTATACTTCCTGTGGAGGAGGGATTCTTGCACTTTGTCACAATCAGCCACATAAGTTGAAAGAAAAGAACACCCCTTCTTCAGCCCCATTTGTAAGGCAGGCAGAAGGGCTAGCTTGCAAAACTCTTATGTCCTTGATGTAGGAGCAAGTGGACAGAAAAGCCAGGTATGTGGAGAGTCACTTTCTGGTCTCCAGAGGATGTTAGTAACAAGACAGATGAAGCAGCTAACCTACTGGCAGCCTCTGTATGGCAGTGCTCAGCTGAGAGTAAAGAAAGCTGATTTAATTAGAAGGGTTTCCCCTTCTTTAAATAGTCTCTTTTGACTATATTCAGGTAAAGCTGCTGCTGGTAGCATTCTGGCACCCTGAATGAAACTAGTTTAGTGGCCATAACTGTGTCGGTCCCTGAAGTAACAGAAATCGATTTCCTTTTCCTAGCTCTCCCTTCCTCCTCCTGCCTCCTTCTCCAAGACTTCATCAAAGCAAATGCACTCACCCCTCAGTTCAGTAGTTTTGCTTAATGAAACAGATGTTTGGGTTGCTGCACTTTGCTTAGAAAGAAACACAGAGCCATGAGTTCTTATGGGTGTGAGCTGCTTTTGCTCATAAGGTCTCAGGCCAGCTGTGGGAAGGGGTCAGAGGTCAGGATGATTTGCCTCAGGTTGCCAGGGCTTGTACACTTGCCAAGCTGGAATGTGCCTATTCCAAGGCATGCAGTATGTCTGCTCACCTCTAGAGCAGGCCTGTCCCCTCTCATTGAATTTTCAGGCAGGGAAGCCCTCTTCCCATTTTAATTGCAGTCTCGAGGGCTTTGTCTGGATGGAATTGATATGCAGTGTGTCTTCTGCAGACAAAACTTAGCCAGCCAGTCGGCCTTCCCGCCAGCCAGTGGTAGGGAAGCATTAATTACTTTGACAATGGCTTGCAAAACCTTATTAACACACAGGAATTTGGGAAGAGATGTGGGTCCTTCCCACCTCTGAAATTCACTGGAACAGGTTCTCCATTCACTTATTTCAGTTCCCAGTCTGTGAAATAGGAAGAAAGGACACTGTATCCTAATGGGGCTGCTTTTAACAGATTAAAGCATGTTTGTTTGTTTGTGTTATGCCATCTCCAGCCTGGTGCCCTCCAATAGCTTGGATTTCAGCTTCTATTAGCTCCAGGCAACATGGCCTGTAGTCAGGAATCCTGGGAGTTCATGGAGGATGTCAGGTCAGGGAGGACTAACAAAGTTCAGATTTTGCTTCATCTCATTGCAATGTTTAGTTTAAGTTGCAACTTTGGCTTTCCTAAAAGAACTAGGTTCTAGTCCTCATGGTTGGCAAGAACTGAATTAAATAAACATGGAGCAATGTCAGCTTGAGCATACAAGCAAGCCAGGTTGCTGCTTGGGTGGCATGATTCTAGACATATTGGCTGTGCTTGGGATCAGTACACAAATCCAGACTTGTGCTTCTGGGATGGTTGGTTGGTTCCCTAAATGAACTGATAGCATCACCCAGAACTCTTTGTGACAGCAGAGGATGTAATTTGCCATTTCTAGAGAATGGGTACATGTGTGCCGAACTGCTATCTAATCAAAAAATCAAATATGATATATTTTATCTGGCTTTTCTGTTTTAAAAATTATCCTGCTTACTTATAACATAACTCATGATAATATAATAAAGCTGAGAATAAAGATTAAAATGGTCAAAACATTTTCAATTAAAAATGCCAGGAAAATTGGGAAGAACGTAGATCTATAGTTCCAGGTATAGACCTTGTGAAGCATTGTCCAAACAAATTGTAGGATGACTTTTTCAGTGGCACAGCTGGTGACCAGGAATGGGATGGGCTCTCACACTTTTGATGGGGAAAATTGCATGAAAATTAGTTGCAGTGCAGACATACTCTGAAATGAATGGGTTTGACTTAGCAAATGTAGTCTCAGATCATCACCTTTGATTCTATGCCTTGTCCTCCCCCTTCATCCCATCCCTAGTGTTCAGCCTGCAAGACCTCTGCTGCCGCGCCATTGTCTCCTGCACACCCGTCCACCTCATAGACAAGCTGCCCCTGCCCGTCACCATCAAGAGTCACTTGAAGTCTTTCTCCATGGCTAATGGCATGAACGCAGTAATGATGCACGGCCGATCGTACTCCGTGGCCAGCAGTGGGGGCGGCAGCAGCAGCAAAGGCAACAGCCTCAAGCGCCCCAAGTCGATCCGTCCGCCACAGAGCCCACCGCAGAACTGCTCGCGGAACAACTGCAAGATTTCTTAGCAAGTCAATGGTGGGGCATGGTGTCCTCCAGCTGCGCATACCTGCACCTGCTCACTGATGTACAGATGTTTACACACACGTAACCCGTTCCTCTTGTCACTCTGACGACATTGCCTGCAGGATTGGCAAAGGGCTTGTGGGCCAGCACTGAGCTGGTGGGGTTCCATGTGGCGAAGGCAGGGTGTGCCAAACCGACGTTCCTGGAATGCAGAGAGTCTTTCCCCTTGCTCTGCTCCGGAGGGGAGACTTCACGGCTGCCTCAAGGGAACGTTTCTTCCTCACACTTGTAGGGGTGGATGGGACTCTGTGCTGCAACTTTAACCTTTGGGTTCCCAAGTGGATTGCTGGTGCTACAGTGCACAGTGACTCTAAGGCAAAAAGGAATAGGGGCCAGGAGTTGGCCGATTAAACAGAGGCAGAGTTCTGCATTTAGCTGACAAAGACTGTGGCGCTGGGGATCCTTCGGCAGCGGGCCACTTGACACTTTCACTTATTTATAAAGGAATTATCTCACTACTTTTAAAAGTTCTCTCTCCACCCTCCTTTTCTTGCTTTTTTAAAGGGAATGCCATTGGTGAAAAATGTTATGCCGCCTTGTAAATAGAAGCACTGAACCTTGTTTCCCTGGGCTAATTGGAGTAGGACGGGGTTTGATGGGGTCAGGGGGGCAAAATGATCAAACACTCTGAGAATGGTATAAGAGGTGCAAGTTTGCTCTTGAGAGTTTCTTTTCTTTTAATTTCTGTTTGTGCGAGGAGGGAGGAATTATTTCTTTTCTTGCCTTTTTCCCCTCTCAGACCTACATTTTGCAGACATTCCTTGTAGCAAGTGCATGGCTTGGATGAACCTCAAGGGCAGGGTCTTGAGTAGTGCTGCCTTGGGTGGGTAGGGAGTTCTGGCCACATCTGGAATTGGTCAGCGCCTGGTCAAGGGACTGCACTCGAGCCATTCCTGCCTCCAGCAGCTTTGTGACGAATGGCCTGGCAGTACCAAGTCACAAAAGATCGCGGCTGGAAGGGAAGGAGATCGCACCGCCAGAACATGCTGCTCTTTTATAGCTAGACATAATTCCTGGGTTATCAGAGGTTTGAGGGTCCTTAATTAACTTCTTTTGCGGCACGTTTTCTTGGCCAGGTAGAAGTACTTGCATGCCATGGCCCTCTTGCTTGGTATTCAGCAGCTCACTCTGTATTCCTCCTGGTCTTGCAGTATTGCCAAGCAGCTTCTTTGAGCTGCGGAGCAAATCAGGGAGCTCAGACAGCAATCCAGGGTACGCTTACATTTTCTAATTTCTTATGTACGTCTCTTCACTTTTCAGGAATCAACATAAGTCACCCAACACCGTAAAAGAAAATCACTACAGGGGGATGAGGTCTCTATAGCAAATGTAGGAATTGGATTCTGGTGTGTGTGGGGAGGGGGAAGACTTGGAAAGTGGATTAGGTCAGGCCCCAAGCCCTCGAACCGAGACTATTTACGGTCTGTCAGAGACCAGAATTTTGCTAGGTACTGAGCTGAGCCACTTCCTTCAGTGCCCTTGTCAGTCCATTTGGATGTGTTATTTCCTCAAAGCTTAGTTGCAACTTCTATGAGCCAGGGGGTTCCCCGAATTCAGAAAGCTCCTGGAATTGCCCATCCAGCTGTTTATACACACTAGAGAGGTGATTTAGTCTTAACTGAAATTGCAGATAGCAAGCCGGCAGGTATCTGCACACCTGGATGGCCTGGTCCCCGTTACCATGCGTTAATTCAATACTTAACTTGATAGCAAATGAAGCAAAAGTGGATGGAGGGCAGATGACGATCACCTACCTGCTTTAATGATGCAGCCTGGAAATGGCATTGAATTATTCACCCATTTTCCCCCTCGGACCAGGTAAATGGCTCTTCCCGGGTCACTCCCCACAACAGCAGCCACGTCTCTGGCAAGGGTTGCCCACCTGCCCTGTCGCAATCTGAAATGGGTGGTATGATGCTCGTCGCACAGCTGACTGCCCATTTTGTTCAGGAACTTTTGACGGGAGCCTGGCTGGCACAGCCGCTCCTTATTGATTGCTCAGAGATGGCTTGGCACACAGGATAAGCCCAGGCCTGCTGCTGGCATAAGCTCAAACAAGGCAGTGGGGACAGGTCAAGGGCAGGGGAAAGCCTTTAGCGGCATCTCTTCAGGCTGTGAACAAAGCCGGAGCGAAATCCGGGGCAGGAGCATGGAAGCTTGGAGATTTACTGGGCATGTCTGCACAGCCATGGCCACCTGTTGCCACTTGCTCAAAATGGAGTAGGGGACAATCACTGACTCAACGGCCTGGCATTCTGGGGATGTGCAGTGAACAGGTGATCTAGAAGGCAGCCTGGTCAGCCATCTTTCCACCCTTGGTTTTAAAATAGCCACTTCCCAAAACAGCTATAGAATGTGCATTGTTTTTTTTTTTCCTCTGAGGAATACAGGGAGCCCCCCACCCACCCACCCACCCATTTGACAGGCTGGAAATCCTTCCTATTGTTTCTCCATCTGATCAAGCTTGTACATACTTCACAAGAGGTGGCCTGGAGGTTTTCTTATTGGAGGGCAGAAGATGCTGCATGTTGAGAAACAGCTTTCAATTACCTGCACTTGTTCTCTTTTCCTCCCTTCCCCTTAGTTGTACATGTAAAGCCTCACCTAAATAGCTGTCTTAATTTTCTTGATTTTTAATCATGGCAAATTCTTTGGAACAAGATTCTCTGGAATGCCTGCCAATCAAAGCTGAACTCGTATCTTTATTTTATTAATGTTCAACTCAAAAGAATGTGATCTGATATCAAACACTAGAAACTAGCTGCTGTCAAACACTTGTCCCATTCCTCTGTTTTTAATTCCTTTGTACAGTAAACGTTGTTAAACTGATGTTTTTTATATTTTTTTTTTTAAATCTTGAGTTAAAACCACCATGTGGGTTGTAGGAGTTGTCTGTGCCAAGCTAGTGAGCTCTTCCTGGGGGAACAGCTCAAGGACAGCAGGAGGGCAGAAGAGAAGGGGGCAAAAGTTTGGCAGGGTGGATTTAAGGGGATTAAGGCGGCTTGTGGTGATGGGATATTCCCAGGAGGGAGCAGTGGAAAGCACTTTGCTGACTGCCTCCTTTGAAACGAACAGGCGTTTGGCCATGGACCGAAGGGTTGGATCAAAGTGGAATGCTTTCTTCACACTTGCCTGAACAGAGAATCTTCATCCTGTGCCAAGCAGCCGAGAGATACTTTCTGGTTGTTTTTACCACATTTATGTAAGCACTTGAGAAGGTGACATGCTCACAGTGGGGGAAAACTTGCTCTCCACACAGAACATGTTGCTATGCACGTCTGCAGTGTGCATATCGCAGTAACTGCTCTGTGTGGCAAAAACGCATGTGAGAAGATACATTTCTATATAGGGTCTTATTTCACTTATTAGACGCCTATCCTGCCCTTCTTCCCTCATGGGGGACCAAGGGGGCTTTCCATGGGGGTTTCCACACTGTGTCTCATTCAAGGCCAACATGTTCAGCTCCTTCAGGGTTGCTGCATCATGGACTTTGACTGAGTCCATACCCTGCTATTTATCAAGGATGGATCTCTTCAGTGAGCACAGCAAGAGCATGGTACAAGCTACAGAGCTTTAAACCAAGAGAGACAACCTATTTCCTAACATATTTTAAAGCCAATGTTTGTTTTGTACCTTTTACAAATTTCCTTTTAGAGGGGAGAGAATCCTCTCTGTGTGTGAGAAAGAGAGCAGTGTGGGGGAGACATACACAGAGGAACATGAAATGGTCTTTCACCATTCCACCTGGTCAATATCTACAGATCTGAGGCACAGCTGTTGGGTTTGAGCAAAGTGTACAACCCTCTCAGAGGAAGGAAGGGAGGCTAATTTGTTTATGACTAGCATATGGAACTATTAAGCCCCTTGTTTGAATCTGATCTGATACGTGACATGTTTTACATAGGTGAATGGCAGCAGTCAAAGTAATTACATTATTACAAAGTACATAATGGTTTGCTTTTCCTTGTAACTTTTTGAGATTTATTGGCCAGGTTGTCCTAAGGATGGCCCGTTTCTTCAAAACCGATGCCCCATGCTATTCCATGGTCCTAATTTTTAGTATTGGTTATATAGCCAACATGAAACAATGGCCTGGTTCACACATAACATCAAACCACAGTTAAACAGTGGTACAAGTCAGGGGCTACAAGGTGGCTCCCTAGAGGAGATTGGGAGCTGTTGCTTTAGTTTTTAGATTAAGCAATATTCCTTGTTATTTCCAAACTTGGGAACTGAGGTTACTTTAAATTGTAATTAATGAGCAAGCTAGGATCATAAGGCACAGTTTGATCCTAGCTTGTTTCCATTAACTATACTCTAAATGTTTTATATGATTTTTTTTAAATGATCCCAGAGAGCCCTTCCACATCCTCCTTACAGGAAGAAAACAAACTATTTCCTGCTATGTGATCTGTTCTTCCTCTAAGCTGAAATCGAACCATAAAGTATGGTGACCCTTCCATTGATATGGAATCACTATTCCAAATGGGCAATCCACCCTCATCAACTAAGGTAACAAGTGGTAGGAAAGGACAAAGGAGGCCTAGAGATGCCCTCCCCCACTCCCACATATGTGGTCTTTAAAAAACGAGAAAAATGGGGAAGAAAAGAAAAAGCAAACAAGTGCATTAATGCACCCCTGGCTGCTTCAGGAAGTGCCCAGTACACACTCGCCCTAAGGCGCCTAATCAAAGGAGTTGGTGTGATTGCAGGTGCGATTAAGAAACAAACAGTGAGAGCAGCTGACCCTCTCGCGTCCAGTACGTTCTGTTTCTATGCAGATGTCCTTCCGAAGTAAGGGGGAGAAATCCGAGGCCAGACTGAATCACTGGACTGCTTTGTAGTTTCTTTCTCTTCCCAAAGCTGCTTGGTACAGCTACCAAGAATAGTTTTTCTTCACGGTATCAGCAGAATTACAGCATATCTCTACTAACACATTTCTTCATCCTACCTGCTGTGCAGCTCATTTTATGGAAGAAAACAAGTTTCTCTGGCCTCAAACAAGTCTTAGCAATCACAGACATCAAGATCTGCCATTCACCAGATCAGTCTTAGTAATTTATTACCAGTCTCGCTAAAGCAATTCAAGGATCAAGAATAGGATCCCCACTGGTGGTAGTTTTGGACCCTTTCCAACTGATCTACAAACAAAACAGCATATGTATAAACTGCAGTAGATGAAGTTAATGTACTTGAGAAAAGAAAAAAACTACCAATTCTGTGCAGATGCCATAATTCAGTAGTAAGATGCTTCTAAAGCTTATGTGTGTGCATACACATAGAGTGTAATATTTTACTACTGAGTTGCTATGGACCGTGTGGCCCTACAGATGTTAATTTCATTTTTTGACTGGGTAACCTCCCAAATAGAGAGTGCCAACACTGTGGACATAATCTACCTCAACTTTGACAAAGCTTTTGTCATAGTACCCCACAACATCCTGATAAGCAAATTAGCAGATAGAAAAGATCTTTAGGTGGATCCAAAATGGGTAGCTAAATTGGATACAAAGAGTGTTCATCAATGGCACCTTCTCAAACTGGAGAAAGATAACTAGCGGGGTGCTGCAGGGTTCACTTCTAGGACCATTACTCTTCAACATTTTTATTAATGCTTTAGACAAGTACAAGGAAAGATAATGAAATTTGCAGATGATACAAAACTGGAATAGCACACAGCCTAGAAGACAGAATGAAGATCAAGGGTGAACTTGATGAACACTGGGCTAAAAGCAACAAAATGAGATTTAATAGGGACAAATGCATCGATGCAAGGATACAAGATGGGGAATACATGGCTCAACAGAACTGAAAAAGAAAAAGATCTTGGAGTAATTGTGGACAAGAGGCCACAATTATGAGCCAACAATGTGATGAGCTGCCAAAAGGGCAAATGCTATTTTGGGATGCATTAACAGAAGTATTACTTCCAAATCATGAAAAGTAGTAGTTCCTCTATATTCCTTACTAGTCAGACCTCATCTGGAATACTGTGTCCAGTTCTGGGCACCAAGATTTAAGAAAGATGCAGAAAAATTAGAAACATAGAAACAGAGCGAGTCAGAAGGGGTCTCCCGGACCATCTAGTCTGACTGGCACCAGCTGGCTCCACTCACGACATGCCCACCATGTGGACGTCCAGCCTATCCTTGAACACCCGCACCGATGGGGCCTCAACGACCTCTCGTGGAAGCCCATTCCACACCCTCGGGGTCCTGACTGTCAGGAAGTGCTTCCTGGCAGCCAAATGGAACCTTGGCTCCCTGAGCTTTGCTCCATTGGAGCGCGTCCTGCCTTCCTCTACAGGGGAGAACAGGTCTCTACCCACCTCTGTGTGACATCCCCTCACCTGTATGTTGCCAACATATCCCCTCTGAGTCTCCTCCAGGCTGAAGAGACCCAGTTCCCTCAGTCTCGCCTCATACCCCATCCCCTGCAAACCGGCCACCAACCTTGTGGCCCTACGCTGCACTGACTCTAACCTGGCTATATCCTTTCTGTAATGAGGGGCCCAAAACTGAGCACAGTACTCCAGTTGCAGGCGCACCAGAGTCATGTAGAGTGGTAGTAATACCTCTCTTGATCTAGAAGCCACACTTCTAGCTATGCAACCAAGGGTGGCGTTCGCCCTCTTGACCACCGCATCACACTGCTGACTCATGTTTAGCCTGCAGTCAACCAGCACCCCGAGGTCCCTTTCACAAGTGCTGCTCTCCAGCCACTTGTCACCTAACCTGTACTTATGACAGCTATTCCTATGTCCCAAGTGCAAGACCTTGCACTTATCCACATTGAACGCCATCCTGTTGTCTCCTGCCCACTTCCATAGTCTGTCCAGATCCTTTTGGATCTGGAGTACCTGTTCCTCAGTTGTGGCCACTGCTCCAGTTTTAGTGTCATCTGCGAATTTGATCAGCAGACTGTTCACCCCTTCTTCCATGTCATTAATGAAAAGATTAAACAGGATCGGCCCCAGGACAGAGCCCTGGGGGACCCCACTTATCACTGGCCGCCATCCCAATGATTCCCCGCTAATGGTACCTTCTGCTTTCGGTCAGTCAACCATGCCCTAATCCACCAGACACTGCTTTGGTGTACCCCAAAACTCCTCAGTTTCTCCACCAGGATATCATGGGGCACTTTGTCAAAGGCCTTGCTGAAATCCAGGTATACCACATCCACTGCATCCCCTCCATCTAGCCATCGCGAAACCTTGTCATAGAATTCCACAAGGTTTGTCTGGCAGGACCTGTTTTTATGGAAGCCGTGTTGTGTGGCTGTCAGCCTCCCTTCCCTATATAGCATCACTAGATCTCTCTCTATTATGAGCCTTTCCATTGTTTTTCCTACAATGGACGTAAGGCTAACAGGTCTATAATTCCTCATGTCCCTTCTACTACCCTTTTTGAAAATTGGGACCACTAGAACCATTAGAAAGGGTCCAGAGGAGGGCAACACAAAGGCTGTCACAGAGAGAAAGGTCAAGATCTCTTCTTGCTGATACCAGAGTGTAGGACGTGGAATACTGAATTCAAGCTGCAGCAACCCAGATTCAGGCTGGACATCAGGAAAAGCTTCCTGACTGTCAGAGCGATACGACAGTGGAACCAGCTGCCTAGAGAGGTGGTGGGTTCTCCCACACTAGAGACATTCAAGGCAAAACTGGATGTTCATCTGAGTAGGATGGTGTAAATTGGAGTCCTGCAACAGCAGAGAGTTGGACCTCGTAGCCTTCCTGGCCACTTCCAACTCTCCTATGATTCTATGAAACTCCAGTCAATTCTCATGATTGTTTATTCTGGTTAGTGCTGATGGGAATTGCAATGCAG